ATTAAAATGCTTTCTTCAATTAGCCATAATTGCGTCTCGGATAAACCTCATTGGCTATGATACTGCCACTGCGCAAAGCTACAATGCTTTCTTAAAACCAACATACATCAAGGTATGTGCAAGAAAAAATCAGTCTTTGAAGGAAAAAAATATATTGCAAATTAAGTAAGATCCTGTTTTTTAAAATAAGACTTTTTAATTTAAAAAATGGCAAAAGTTTAATTAATGGAATAAAACAGGTTAAGCTGGAAGTAAATACATGGGCTGTTTTACAGGAATGCATAATGTGAGTGACGAAAGAAACAAATATTCTTCCAATTTTCCATATTATTTGACACCCATTTAAATGAAAGAGGCTATTCCCAAATGGTACACAAATTCATAAGTTTTTATTTTGAAAAAAATTCTTCCAACAGTATTTCACAATGAACAAGAACTTAACCAAATTTATCTATCATACTAAAGCATTTCAGAAATGAATATTGAAATCAGCCTGTAAGTTTTCATCCAGTATTTAAAACCACCTCCTGAACTAAAATTGGTCTTCAAAAATCATGGTGTATTAACATTTTTCAAACATGCCCTGCTGACTAGAAGGTCCTGTTATTCTTTCTTTTGAAATTCTCAATAAGTTTCCTTGTTCCCTATTTCTAGGATTTAAAGTGCAAAAGTACTTTCTATCAGCTATTAGGACAAGTATTCCTTAAGGAAAATAAACTTTTGCAGGAAACAAATCCTGTGCTTGACTAACAGCAAATACAAGTTAAGAAATTTCTGAGCTCTAAACCATAAGGAATCAGAAACAGAACATTCGGAGTAATAACTCACATTTTTTTTTTCTAAAGCATAGGAAGCTAATTTTGAAGAAATAATGAACAAACATGTGGTTGTGCCAAAATAGAGTTTGCCATAGTTAATTGCTATTTTCTCTTCTTAAAAATAAGGTATAGTCTAAGCTGATGTAAATAAGAAAAGGCACGATACCAACAAATTGTAAAACAAAATATAGCCCCAAGCCATGCACTTTCAGAGTCATGAGTAGGGACAATGAAAAAATTAAGGTGCAAAATAGATGTGAGCTTGCACAATCTTTCAATTAACTGACTGCCTTAATAGTTTTAATTTTAAAAGCATAGGATTTTTCATGTATCTTCAGTCAATTAGAGAGATTTTTTTTTCCTTCTTTAAATTGAAGAATTTCTTAAATAGGGAAGCACAAGATCATACCTACACATCTGGTGAGTCTCAAAATAGAATGATGTCTATTTTATTAAAAGTTTCCAGTCAGGCAGAATCAAGAGTAATCTTCATATATGCATAAGGATATTATCATTGTAACAATATTTTTAGTAGAAAAGTCTATAAACAACTGTTCTCCCAAAGGGACATCCATATAATGGAATCCTGGAGACATTAAAATAATGGGTTAGAGCTGGATGTGGTAATATGGAAAGACAATCAAGTTAAACAAGAACAAAGTCACAAAACTGAACATTTAAAATAAGGAAGAACAGGAAGAGGCATATATAGAGAGGCATACATAAAATAAATGATAACATTTCTGAAAGACTATACAAGAATACAAGAAATTATATACCTCTTGGATGTGAGAATAAAGTCACAGAGGGAGACATACTTTTTGACTTTATGCCCTTTGTGCATATGGCATAATTTTTAGAAAACATAAGCATATATTATAACATACAAAAAAACCTTTAAAGTCTTTAAAAAACCTGATTGCAACCAAAGCATTCTATGAAACATTGACTATATAAGATTAGTTTATAACCCCTTGCTGCCTTTAGTTAATGATCATATAGTCAAAATTAGAAGGCTCCTTGGCATTTGCTTCCTCTGTCTCTCCACTCAAGATTGAGGGAAGATGCTGAGAATTTAGACTTCAAATTTCACTCTCATTGCTTAAATTGTAACATGCATAACATATCAAGATTTCAGAGGACCGATTTAAAAAATTAAACTATGGGCATTTTAATAACCATTTAAAATATTTTATCCAGCATCACTGTATCTTTTTTATAAAAGCTCAAATCACAACATTTTCATTTTATCAGCCCCTACAGCCCTATGTTGGACAAGCACAGATTTCAAAAATACACTGAAATATATGTTGAATTTTTATCCACTAGAATAAAATAACCAGAGTGGTATGAATTCTTGGCAACAGTCTTCACTGGGAAATACCATTGTCAGTCCAAACTTACACAACTGACTTCAAAATCAGACTAAGATGTGGCAAAAGAAGAACCATTCCCTACCTTCACTATCTATTCAGGATTTGCCAACTCAAAGGCCTTGAAAAGCATGTGAATGTTTGAGACTAAGGAAAACTGAGAGTGGTAGGCTAGCGGCCACCTTAAGAGTACATGCCCCATTTTAAAAAGTTGAAATCAGAATGCAACATTTTAAAACACTGTGCTGGTCAAACAAAACATAACTGTACAGAGAATTCAGAGTGTAAGCCTTGAATGTACAATCCCTGTAAAAGCACAACAATTGGACTTTTTAAAACCATGGTTCACAACACTTGGCTCTTTGCAGATTAAATACCTCAGTGCCCACCAAGTATATCTCTAAAAATGAACAAGTGTCCAAATACTTGCTGAATGAATTAACAACATAAAAGCTCTTCAAATACTGGATATAATCATCAAATGAACAATAAATGTAACTAATGAGTTGTGGAATTATATGTCCTTACTGTGCTGGAGCTGGTTTGTAAAGGCTTGGGAGAGCCACTGGTCTGCTATCTCTTTAAACCGCATTTAACAACATCAGATTGGCAGGTAAAATCACCATGGAGATAATATTTATACCACAAATATTAGTAAACACTACAAAACAGGGCCTTTTTTCTTTCGTGAAAGAGTTGTTAAACATTCAGCAGCACACTAGATGACATTGTGGTGATATATTTGTTCACAAATAACCACATGAAAAGTTTAATGTCACTAAATTTTAAAATATAAAAAGAAAATTTTAACTAATGAGGATGATTCAATACAATAGGTTAATTTAATAAAAATTTTAATTATACTACCATTTAAAAAGTAAATTTTAAAACTATATAGGGCACAAACTGTAACAATAAAGGTGGAACGCTTTACAAAACAGGAGTCTATGATACTTCAGATGAGTCTTCAATTTAAAACAGGCTCCACTAGTTACCATATTACTTCTAAAGTTAAAAAAAAAAAAAAAAAAAAAAAAAAAACAAGAATAAACTGTACTGACTGCATTAAATTATGAAAAGAATTCAAGTGATTAAAGTTTTTTTTGGGTATACAAGATATAGAATGTAACTTGTTCAGAATTTCAAAATATTAAGAAGGTATGTACTCGTAAAGAAATGTGATAGCATTTTAATCCAAATCTGTTCCCCAGAGCAAAAGCTACCACTAGCTTCACCTCTCTATGCTTTGCTTCTTTCATCCTAAAAGTATGGGTCCACTGCAGGGACTGTAAGAGACGAAATATGAAAATCATTTGGCAAGTGACTGTCTGATATACACCCCATACGTAATACCACTGCTATTATTACCTTGAAGTAGTTAGTGTTAAAACATCTGCAATTTCAGTTTTTCTCACTAGCAAACACAAAAAAACCTCAGGGCGTAGTATGTTAGAACAAGTGAATACTGTTCTAACAAATTTAAAGTATAGTGGTTCTCAAAGGGTCTGGAGACCCTTAAGGTCCACAACCCTTTCTTTGAAGGGCTGTGAAAAGTCAAACTATTTTCATTGTCTTACTAAGACATTATATATCTTTTTCATTCTCATGATTTCACAAGGGCATAGTGGAGTTTTCCAGTGTGTATGCTATGTAATTTTTTTTTAAATTGGAATGCTCTCACTGCTTTTATTAAGCCATTTTTTTTTTAATGCATAAAATGTAAAACATGTTCCTGTTCTCATTAGTTTTTGCTTTGGAAAAGTTATTTTTATCAAAAATGTTATTTATGCCAGCAAGTAGTTTATTATTGTTATATTTAAATAAACATGTTTTTAAAAATCTCAGTATTAATTTCAATACAGTAAATTCTGAGAGATATAACTACATCAACAAAAGCTCTTTGGGGATCTTCAGTAAGAGTTACGGTCCTGAGACTAAAATGCTCCAGAGATGTTTGTACAGTGGTAAAGCAGCAGCCAGGTCACCCTCTCCATGTTGCCAATTGGTGGGAACTGTACTAAAGAGTGACAGTGAGTGAGTGAGTGAGTGAGAGAGAGAGAGAAAGTAAGTGTGTGTGTGTATGTGTGTGTGTGTGTGTGTGTGCAAGGGGCACGGAATCTCACAGGTAAAGAAATGATGTGCTTTTACAAATTAATAGAAGGAATTATTTTTTCACAAAAATAATAAAATATTCTCTATTTCAAAAAATGAGGAAAAAATGTGTTTAAACTATGTCAGAAGTTTGCCATCCCAAAAAAAGATCTTCCTTCCTGAGCAGGGATACCTGCAGATAGATACCTGAACAGGAAAAACAATCTGACTAAACCAGTAAGCCAGGAAATTTGGAGGTTTTTCAGCCTTGTTACCCTTCCAGGATTTTTTTCTCCTTTTTAGTACTCAACATAATTTTGATGGTCCATATAAAACTAGAACAAATCTAAATATAAAAGTCTAACAAAAGCTAATTTTCTTTAATAATAAACAGTGAATATCATAAGAAAAACTACCTTAATACTTTTAATACTTTAAAGCTACCTCTCTCTCTTTTTTTTTTTTTTCTTTTTAATTCTTTTGAGATAGGATCTCACTTGATCACCCAGGCTAGTGTGCAGTGGAGTGGGCTCAAGTGATATTCCCACCTCACCTCCAGGGTAGCTAGGACTACAGGCTCTGCACCACCATACCCAGGTTGGGTCTCTTCTTAAACTAAACATTTCTATTTTATAAGCACTAATTTAAAGTGAGTAGGAGCTCCCATTTAATTACAAACTTCAATAGTTACCCAGAAAAAGAAATAGTCTTTAAAATTATGTTGATAACAACTGTTTAATTTACTACTCAGAAGGAAAGCCTGGTAGGTTATTTGGGTAATGGCCTATAATTAGGTAGTATAACTTCGTACACATGAATCAACTGGGACCCGATACAATCTAAAACAGAAATTCAAATATTGTTTCCCTCAATGAAAAGGGCTGAGGAAGTCCCCCAAAATGTAGAAACATTTCAAGTCTACATCAACACACACCTGGACCTGTGAAGCATTCATTTAATTCTAAAAGAAGAGGCATACTGCTCAGAAAAGAGGCAGAGATTTCCCAGACATCTTGCTTATTAAAATGGTTCAGACAAACCACACTTTCAGCTAGATGTACACTGGACAGCAATGTTTTAACAAGTCTAAAACACCATACAGATTTTAAAATACTATGATAACAACTCAGTCATCATTGCAAAAGGCATTCAACATGAATAAAATGTTTGAGGAAATTGACGTTTACCTCTTTGAATACCAAAGCTTTTAAAAAAGTTTTAATCAATTCAAGATAAAACTTTTAAAACATGTACTACATATCTGTGTATGCAATTTCACCTTCATTACCTTGATTACCTAGAGGCACAGTAAAGACCGATCATCAGATGATGTAGTATAGTGATGTCCTCTAGGCTGGCTAGTGGCCCTTACACTAATGGTCTTGGACAGTGTATGCTCCTCAGAGTTTTTTTTTCCCAGTTGCCTTCCTTGCAAGCCATCCCTTCTAAACTGCTAATATGCTATAGTCTGGACAAGCAAATAATCAAATTTATTAAAATCTCTCATAAAAACAAATGCATAAGCTCTAACACACAGACTTTGTGATTTATATGGGTTGCTCAGAGGCATTTTTTGAAAAGCTATTCCAAGTTTCTGAGTTGCATACTAAACTTAGTATCTTTGCCTTTTTAAACAAAGTATCCCATAACTTCAAGGTAACACTGAGTTCCAGTTTCTTTCCCCTAAAAAACAAACATAAACAAATATCCTAGATATAATATCATTTGCCCAAAAAAAGAAGAGAACTGAGGTGCAGTAATGTCACAGTTAATGCATGTCTACTTCCAATACATTCAAAGACAATATTGTTTTTTAAAAAATCAATAGTTAAAATAGGCCTTTTGCAGTCTGAGAATTCAAGATACTTAGAAAAATTTGTAAATACACATACATGCAAATTCTTCATATATACAAATTTCACAAAATTAATAAGCTGCAAAGAAATTAGAAGGATTATGGAAAATCTGACAAGCTACATTTAAATGCTTTACCACTGACATGTTCCTGAATGTAGCAGTCATAGTAGTTTTAATAAATTTTCTACATGGCCTTTTTATAAAAAGTCACTAAGAAGTCTTTTAAGAATTCAAGATGTTCTCAATTCACTACTCTTACTTAAGGCCACTTTGGTAAAGGCATTGCAGCAAGAACACAAAAACAATAGCATATTTTATAATATTTATTTTTTTCACCTGCAAACTGTAGCAAAACATGATCAGCTTTATTATGCAGACAGGTATCCCTCTACATTTTAAAAGAATTTAGGCATGTATAAATAGAAGAGCTCTTTAGAAAGGAAAAATTCAAGAATGAATAAAACCTTCCAATTTTGACTCTGTAACTTTCCAGTAGCAATGGTTAAAATGATTTTAGGTCATTCATTCCAAGATATATGACAGCACCTTAAAAAGTGGCTGATCTATTTCCCCAGTAACATTTCTCACATAACAATGTGTTAAAGTTACAAATACTGATATGCACAAATAGCTAATTTCTAAGAAAAATATGTACAGTACTGCAGCATAATGAATGTGGTATCTGCAATAACTTAATATTAGCCAATTTTAATATACATGATACCGCTACCCTTTTCTGCCAATTCACAGGTTAAAAGGTGTTACTGGAGCCCTCGGTTTTGCACATATCACCTGGTGTTTAATACACAATGCAGGCTTTTTAAAGACTTCTCTTGTGTTTAAAGCTAAGATCAGTGAAACAAGACAACAGTGCAAGAGGTGGAGAGATGTAATGTAACCACATAAAAGTTCGTTCCAGTAAATTGTCTATATAAGGCTATAAGAAAGGATTGGTTGATGAGCTTCCTGTTGGAAATTGTCCTGTTGGTGCACCAGTCTAAAGGAAAACATAAGACAAATAAAAAGATAAAAGTGGTACATGTACAGAATATAAAAACATTACACTGAATTTAATTTTATTTAATTAGACATTTTGGTTAAGAATTTTTTTAAATTATTGGCAATAACATTTATTTGTTATTGGCAATATGCTATACAAAACTATTAAGTGTCAGGAACTGTACTATGTCTTTCATAACCATTATTTCATAGCGTTCTTGTAACAGATTCTAGGAAGAATATTAGAATGGTCTTAAAAAGCACTTAGAAAAGATTCAAATGAAACTTCTGGCTCTTAAGACCTCTTTTTTATGTTCATCAATTCTTAGGGCCTCTGATAAAGTGTTATTTTGACAAGAAAGCAAATAAGTATCATATTATAAAACAGCTGAACTACTGCAATGCTTTAATTTCCAACTAGTCTTTTGAAAAGGTCAGAAAGGGATCACACATAATGGCTCCAAGTCAATTTGTACAATTTTACCATGTCACATCAAAAGGATACCAAATACCATCTAGGAATATTAACATGCTGCTATTCCTAATTTAAAAATAAGATTTAACAACTTATAAAGTACTTAATTTTAAATTTTGCTTACCATAAAAGGATTACTAGATACTCCAGCAGCTGCAACTTGACCAAAAGGGGTTACCACTGGCTTTGTTTGTCCAAATGCTGCAAAACCTGCACCTTGTTAAAACAGAACCACCAATTATAACCTCTATCTTTAAGAGACAATCTCATGCTTATAAAGCCTCATAATAACTTTCAGAGAAATTCCTATCAGAGCAATAAAAATAAAGTATCAAAGTTAAGTTGTTAGTCCTCAAGCTCTTTCAGATACCAAAGAAAAACTGACAGTAGCATGTCTTAAAATAACTCTTTTTTTGGAGGCAGGATCTCACTCTATTGCCCAGACCGGAGTCCAGAGGCATAATCATGGCTCACTGCAGCCTCAACCTTCAGGGCTCAGGTGATCCTTCCACCTCAGTCTCCCAAGTAGCTGGAACTACAGCCACATGCCACCATACCCAGCTAATTTTTATACTTTTTGTAGAGATAGGATTTCATTATGTTGCCCAGGCTGGTCTCAATCTCTTGGGTTCAAGTGATCCACTTGCCTTGGCCTCCCAAAGTGCTGGGATTTCAGGCATGAGTTACCACACCTGGCCAAGAGAACTTTCATTCAGCTCTTTCATGCCAACTTGTCTCAATAACTAAAATTCATAGGACTTCATTACTAGATGAGTTTGTGACTATTTGGGACAGGCCATGCAGACAACGCAATGATTTCTATGTAAACATCACAATATTTTGTAGAAAATACTTTTATTACTTATGGCTCTTCCATGGTCCATATTTCAGACTTTTAAATAACCATTTACTTTAAAAAAAAAAAATGTAGTTGTGATTCAAGAATCTTCAAATCTATACACTTAAAACTTGAGCAAATGACAGAAATAGGTAAAAATGGTCAAGTCAATCTTCCCATCTCTTCCTAAAATCAAATAACAAACTCTAACTACAGTAGTTATCAAATTAGAAAAGTAGTCTCTTTCACACACACAAAGGTACATATTTCTGTGATGAAAGGAAAAAAAAAAACCAACATTTTAGGTCTATGAAGTCTCCTTTAAAAATCAAGAGGCATATTAGAACATGTAAGACAAATTAATCAGAAAAAGGCTCTAGAAACTCTGAGAATGAAGAAATACTCTACATAGTCACTGATTTCCCATAAATTGTAACCTGCTCACAAAAGCTTACAAAATCACTTAGCTTTCTGAGGTCCAAATCACCAAAAGCTTTTATTTTTGTGTAGTAAATACTCAGTAGATAATACTATAGCATTCATTAGAAAAGTCTTTCTGCCCAAGCACACAACATTATGATATGAAAAGAATATATAAAATGAACTTACAGCTTGCCAAATGTTAGATCTTACCATTGGGCTGTTGAGAAAAAGCTGTCTGTTGAGGGAAAGCTGCTTGGGCTGGGAAGGCAGGCTGCTGGAAGCTGCCACTAAAGCTGGTAGGAAGACTGTAGGGAGCAGGAGTGCCAAATCCCGTGGGCATGCTCATGGATGCAGTGCCAAAGGTTGCCGCTAACAGGAGAAGAGAAGGGCTGATCAGTTACATACAAGAAGACATGTTTAGTTTCTCACAACATTGTAAAAAAGACATCATTTACCTTGAAAAATACTAGGATGTACATTAAAGGCAGTGTTAATTCCAAAATTCCAACAAAGTTACCAATGAGTTTTAGTGCTACACTGTTTTAACATCACCTGTAGAAATTTTGTTCTCCTAAAACCCAATAACCAGAATGAAACTACTAAAGCTGATATTTGAAATCCCAAGAAAATTTCTCAAATTACAAATTCAAGTCTAAACAGTAGTCTTTTTAAAGGCTCATCATCATGCAATTCACACAATTCACATGTATACTAGTGAATGTATACTAGTATACATTTTTGTTTTTAGTTTTGTTTTGCTACATGTAGTAAAATAACAACCAAAATTTAATCTACTGAAGTATCTGCTATAACATAATACGTGTTCCTGGAAAAAAATTTAAAAACCACTGAAAAATAGTTTGTTAAAAAGAATAGGACTTATAGGAAAAACAGGTTTAGTTAGAGGCAGACCACTCAGAACCTATGCAGCTTTGTAACTAAAGCCAGAGAGAAACAGAGAGAAATTCAAAATTCTATTAACAACCATAACACAATTAAAGGACAAGTTCCTATTAAATCAATTATATGGATATATATACACATATGGACTCCCACCCTCTTCTGGAAGGTAAATAAAGACAGCTTTGGAAGACTGAAGGAAGGTTAGGGCAGCTGAGCTATCAAAATTAGTGGGAAATCCACAAAGACTGCATTCTTAGAAAGAATACAGAATAAATGGCCATAGTACTCAATGCTACTGTACTCTTCCTTGCCTTGCCATGTCTAGCTGGTTACTACTTCATGGACAAGGTATTATTATCACATTGGGGGAAATGTGTGTTATCAACTGCTACATATGTGGAATGCTGCCGTAATTTCCCTATTTACTAATCACTTAGGAACTAAAGTACATTATAGAAACACATGCAATAACAGAGCAGTATGTTATTTATTACTAGTGAATATTAAAAACAGAACTGCCAACTATATGTTCTAGGAAGGGTCTCAGTAAAATAAGAGCCAATAATGTTGCTTAAATATAGACTACTAGTAATTACATAATGAAATATTCTTAGCATGATGCAATCAAAATAACATGCTAATTCACTAAATTTACTGATTTTAACAAATTCACCAATTAGATCACTGATTTAATGCACAGAAATTAAACACTAAAAATGTTACACAGAATGTATTTTATTTTTAAAAAGCTGAAAAACAAGTTATAGATGTTGTCCAACATAATCCCTGTAGTCGTAATGTTTACAACAATGCAATTTTGCTCAGTGAACCTAATTAGAATATCAAGAAAATTACTTTTATATTATTGATGAGAAAAAAAAGGAAAAACAGGCCACTGGGAAGCAAGTGAATTAAAGAACAATAAGCACACTGCAAGGGTAATGGGAGGGCTTCATAACAGACAACAATGCATTGACATAACTTTGACAAATCACTTTAAGAGAGCACTAAAAAGCAAAACTTGGATACAGTTAAGCAAAACCAAACTCCATGGAATAATGCAGTAAAATGATTTGCTATATCAAAAAGGCGACAAAGTATCATGAATTCAAACTCAAGAAAAAGAATCATAATAGCTATTAACATTCTAATGTGACCATGTAGGTAAGCAGTAATGCTTTTCAGCATTTATACATAAATCACTACAAAATATTTTCATGGAATTTTAAATACAATGTAATCGGAAAGCCACACATCCATGCCCACTCCATTTTAAAACACGGAAAAAACTTAATTCCGCATGCAGGGATCCAGAACACTAGCAGAAGCTTCCACAAGCAGGTAGACAAATTGCCACACAAATCTAGATATTAATTGTGGCCACCTACCAAAATGAGCGTGAGGAAACACTTGAGAATGCATTGCTCCAGAAAGGCCTTATGGAAAGCCATAAAGAGACCAATGTCAATTAACTTGTGGATAACTATTGTTAAAATAAAAATAAATTTGTTTCATTAAAAGTTATAAAATCAGAGCACACTGTTGCTAAGGGGGTAGCATAATACATAACAAAAGCACATTTACAAAATAAGCCTTTTACTTCACAACACTGTAATATTTATACTGTTTGAAATAAAGTGGAGATTAGAGTAATACATAACAAATTAAGAAACAGTGATGAAATCAATTTTTTAAACAAATAAGCATCAACTTTTCAATAGTCATTAAAAAACGCTTTGTAGGCATCATAAGCTACATCTAAATATGCTATTCATAGAATCATCTGAAATTATCCAGTATCTACATTTGGGATCGAAACCAAGTCTTGGGAGACAGCGTGAACAATGCTAGATTGTTCTATTTACAACTCAGCACATTAACTAGAAATACACAAATAACTCAAATGAACTAATTAAGTATTACAAGGGAAAAACTATTAAATATACTAGTTCATAAGAAAGGTAAACAGTATTTTCAGGTTAAAATATAAAGGCTGAAAAGGAGAGAAAAAAAGCAAAACAGATCTTCTGTAGATCTTACTCACCTGGCATGTTTAAAGATAGACAGGTTACATATAAATTAATAAAAAGTTAACCTAGATTGTTAAATACTAGAACCTTTTTTTGTTTGTTTTAGTAATCTGAAGTAAGACTGTCTCTAAAATATATTTCCATGCATTTAAAATTGGAATACTTTTAAAACTGGCATAAGAATGATTAAGAAATTGAATGGTTCTGAGTTGTGGTTCTGTCATTTACTAGCTGCATAATGTTACTTTATGTTATAAGCTTCTGTTTCCTCATTTGCAAATGGGTTAGAGGGACAGAGAAAATAGTATCTACACTTCAAGCTGTTGTGAAGAGCAAATGCAACAAAAAATCAAAGTGTTGGGCAGTAAATATTGAATGAATGTAACTTTCTTGCCAACTTAAAAAAGTATCACTATGTTCCAAATAGAAAAAAAGATTAATTGAGGGAGATGTGCCTGTGAAAAATAAATGTGACCCTTATACTTATCTCCTTTCTTAAAGCACTTTACAGGTTTGGAGCAGTCCTGCACTAATGACATTGGTTCAACTGTGTTTATTCCAGCATTTCCCACATGCATTTAGACACAGAATTCTTTCCATAGAATTTTGCTAACAACATTACAGGAGACATGTTTCACAAAATACACTGGCAAACACTGACTTTTAGACAACAGTGACTGTTAGCCAATATTAATCAATGTACCTCAGTCTGTAACAAGATGCCCCCCCAAGCTCTGGTCCTGAACTGCTAAAAATTTTTTTTAGACTTTATACAACTTTTGGAAATATAATTCACATACGACACACAATTCATTCATTTAAAGAGTTCAATTTTTAAAACTATATTCTCAGGGTTGTACAACTATCAACACAATCTAATTTTAGAATTACTTTCATCCCCCCTCAAAATAAATATCATACCTATCAGCTGTCACTTCCCATGCTGCCCACCACTACTAAAATCCCAGCCCCTGGCAATCATTCATCTACTTTATCTTTCCATTTCCGGACATTTCATACAAATGGCACCACAAATGTGCGGCCTTTTGTGACTAGTTTCTTTCGCTCAGCAGAATGTTTTCAAGGTTCATCATGTTGTAGCATGTATCAATGCTTCATCACTTTTTATTATCAAATAATTTGTCACTGTATAACTATTCAACATTTGGTTTCATCAGTTGATGGACATTTGGGTTGTTTGTACCGTTTAGCAATGATTAAAATTGATGCTATGAACATCTGTGTACAAATTTTTGTGCAGATGTATGTTTTCATTCCTCTTTGGTATACTCCTAATAGTGGCACTGCTAAGTTACATGCTAACTCTACGACGACCATTTGAGGAACTGCCAGAATGTTTTCCAAGGGGTTGTACCATTTTATATTCCCACAAGCAATATATGAGGTTTCTAATTTCTCTGCCTCCTCACATTGTTCATCATTGTCTTTTCTTTTACTGACCATCTCTATCCCTTCTTGGAGAAATGTCTATTCAAATATTTTGTTCACTTTTTAATTGGGTTGTCTTTTTATTTAGTTGTAAGAGTTCTTTATATATTCTGAATACAAGTCCCTTATCAGATGTATGATTAGTAAATATTTTCTCCATTATCAAGTTTTCTGATGGGTAAATTTTTACAACTTTCCTGTCTTTCTTTTTTTAATTACCAAATTGGTAATTTTCACTTCTGGCTCCTTTTTAAAATACCAACTGTAGAGTATCAAATATTAGAGATGTCCAACTATTAAGAGTAAACTGAGGGCCGGGTGCGGTGGCTCAAGCCTGTAATCCCAGCACTTTGGGAGGCCGAGGCGGGTGGATCACGAGGTCAAGAGATCGAGACCATCCTGGTCAACATGGTGAAACCCCATCTCTACTAAAAATACAAAAAATTAGCTGGGCATGGTGGCTCGTGCCTGTAATCCCAGCTACTCAGGAGGCTGAGGCAAGAGAATTGCTTGAACTCAGGAGGCGGAGGTTGCAGTGAGCCGAGATCGCGCCATTGCACTCCAGCCTGGGTAACAAAAGCGTAACTCCGTCTCAAAAAAAAAAAAAAATAGCTCTAGGGGAGAAAAAAAAATCCTAAATATCACAGAATCCTAAAATCAGGCCATAATAGGTAACCTCCTAATGAGAGTTCCTATGTAACATTACGGTTTTTAAAAAAGCTAAAGCCTCAAAGTTTCATAAATCTGGAAAAAATGATTATTCAAATGTTATTTTAAGAACGACCACGGTGCAGTGGCTCATACCTGTAATCCCAGCACTGTGCAGGGGCTGAGGCAGGCAGATCACTTAAGGCCAGGAGTTCAAGACCAGTCTAGCAAACATGGCAAACCCCACCTCTACTAAAAATATAAAAATCAGCTGGGTGTGGTGGCACACATCTGTAATCCCAGCTACTCAGGAGGCAGAGGCATGAGAATTGCTCAAACCCGTGAGGTAGAGGTTGCTGTGAGCTAAGATTGCACCACTGCACTCCAGTCTGGGTGACAGAGTGATAATCTGTTAAAAAATATATATATATAGATAAAACTTTTCAAATTTCACATAAAACTATTATGTAATACCCCCTCCTCAATTTTTTTTTTTTGAAACAGAGTCTCACTCTGTCACCCAGGCTGGCATGTGGTGGTGCAATTACATCTCACTGCAGCTTTAACCTCCTAGGCTCAGGTAATCCTCCCACCTCAGCCTCCTGAGTAGCTAGGACTACAGGTGCCTGCCACCATGTATTTTTTTTACAAACAGGGTTTTGCCATGTTGCCCAGGTTGGTCTTCAACTTCTGGACTTCAAGCAACCCACCTGTCTTGGCTTCCCAAAGTGCTAGGACCAAAGGGTGCCTCAAAATGTAATTTCATAGTGTTAATATATTAGTTTGTCTGTTTTTGAGACAGTCTCATTCTGTCTCCCAGGCTGGAGTGCAGTGGCATAATCTTAGCTCATTGCAACCTTTGCCTCCTTGGTTCAAGCGATTCTCCTGCCTCAGTCTCCTGAGTAGCTGGGACTAGAGGCGCATGCCACCGCAGCTGGCAAATTTTTGCATTTTTAGTAGAGACAGGGTCTCATCAGGTTGGCCAGGCTGTTCTCAAACTCCGGGCCTCAGATGATCCACCTGCCTAAGCCTCCCAGAATGCTGGATTACAGGCATGAGGCACTGAGCTTGGCTAGTGTTAATATATTTAAAGGCAACCAAAAATTCTTAAATAATATTAATTTTGATGATATAAAACACTAGAAATTCTTAAGCGTAGTGCAATTGTCAAAGTATTGTTTGTATTTCAGCTTCAACAGAAACCTATGCAGTTAATGTTTAAGTGATTTGGTCAATTCAATAATAATCTAATAAAGGTGATGATCAATGTGATAAATTCAAAATGACTTATAATGAAAAAAATGTATTACCTTGAAATAAACATTTGCAGACACAGTAGTTTTACCTTTCTAATAAGTTTTTGTTACTTAGTACTAAAATTATCTTATATCATCTGAACATGTTATTTTATATCCTATGTAGAACTGCAACTTTTATAAAACTTTCATACTCTAAGTAAAATAAGCAAAAAAAAAAAAAGTGCTTAACTCTAATGATAGAACCAACTCAGAGATATAGTCATGAAAGAAAAATAATAGGTCTGATTTACTGAGGAAATGCTGTAATGCAAAGACCACACAGGATAAATTTGCATCATCTAATTTCACAAAAAACCTGCCAGCAAGAGAGTATTATTCACATCCTACAGAGAAGTACAAGAGGAAGGCTCAGAAACGTTAGGTCAACATGATTAGGCTCAGTCAAGGCATAATTTGAGCTTCCATTCATCGGTTCTTAAATGAGGTTATAGTATCTATAAATAATAGCATCTTGTGAATAGATGTATCATAATAAATGTTTGAACCTCTTCCTATCATTCTTACCCCATTCATTAAAAGAACAAAGTTCAAAAGGCTTTCTTATGGTCAACCAGCAAGTAACTATAAATCAGAACTCAAAAACAAGTTTGGCTGGCTGTTCTCAAAACACGTCCAATTAACTTTTCTGGGCCTGTTCCCTCAGCTGTCACACAATTAAAATATTTGTTCGATGAGAGCTGAGTGGATTAAATGAGGCAATACACAAAAATCCATTGTATCACAAGACATTTTACAAACTCAGTCCACTAAATCAAAACAGTATACTAAGAAACAGAAACACTGAACATCTCATGCACCTGATGAAGAAATTCTATGAACAAAAATTAAAAACAATCATTCATCAGGTACACTTGAATTAAAACAAACCATTTTTAAAAAGATAAATTTTGTGTGAAATTCAAATATTTACCAAACATCTATTATGCTAGTTGCCAACAAAGTATAAGTGAAGACATTTATGTGAAAAGAAAATAGTTACAGTTCAAACTCCTAATGTTGCGATTCTCAAGCTTGTTAATGACAAAGAGATTTACTAAAAATTAGTAATTCTTAATGGTTTAATTTGATAACAATGTTATAAGTACCTAATCTCTCAAGATTTAATATCAACAGTTGTCATAACTGGAGTTTAGGCTTTAGTTCTAAATTATTGTGGCAAATACACAAAAACAAAGCATACAAACTCTACATGGATACCCAGCCATACCACATGCACCTGCTGACATTCCAAGATGATGGCAAGTATCTCTGGTGTTCAAGGTAATACGACAAAAATCAGAGGTATAACATGAGAAAGATGTGATTGGCTTGCAGTATGAATCAAAAAGAAAAATGGGAGAAAATAAAGAGAAATTAAGGGAAAAAATTATCAGGAGAAAAATATTCAGTATTATACCCACAACTAAATCAAGTTCCCACAACTTAAAAAATGTTAACACATGAAAGAGAAATTCACTAGAAAAAGACCTAATTATTAAGAATTCATGAAATAAAGTAATTTGATGCAATCTCATAGGGAAAATAAACACTTCTCATAAGATGTTTCCATTAAGACTGCATGAGTTAAAAACAGTAATTCTGAAACCAGATAACTAAATACGTCTAAATTGCTCCGTTCAAGTCCCATCTCTGTCATAAATTCTCTGTGGAGTCTCATCTCCATATCTGGCATTCCCTACCTGAAAAACGAAAGCTTTAACTGGAAAGGGTAGACATTACATAATTTCTAAGGTCCCTCTCAATTGTTAAATTCCAGGATTTTATAAACTTTCAGCTAGAATTTGTCTTTATGGAGAAATTCTTCTATCCATATGCTATTCACTTCACTAAGAAAGAGGCCCCATCTTCTGGCTTTCTTCACATGATGTCTTTGTTGATAAATACCTTCCCCAAAGCTTACTGTTCCACTGACTGTCTCTTTTTCTTACCTGTTGCTCCTCTGGCATTGGTCTGAAATGGATTTGTAGAAGATGCCACAGAAGGACCAGCAGCAGCAACAAATGGATTTGTGGAAGGCGTAGCTTTAAAAAATTATAAAATACACTATAAAATCCTAATACATTTTGTACTTAAGATTTAAATTATTTGTTCATTATATTTATCAAGATAGAAAACTCAAGGATTCTGATAACAAATCATTGCTTTGATTCCTAAGAAAATGCTACACAATATATAGTTGGGTTCTTTATAAAAACCAGTGTATATACCAAAAGCACATACCTCCAAATGGAGCAGGCACACTTGATGAAGCAGGCTGTGTCTGTGCAGAAGCACCCACTGGTACTGTTCCAAAAACATTGCTGAGAACAAATATTCAAAGAGTTCATTTTTGTTTGTTTGTTTTAAAAGAAAACAAAAGAGAGAAAGTAAGGATAATCAGTCTACAGGGTAGCCACAAAATAATGAACATATCACGTATCACAGCATCAATATCAACACAAAGAAAATTAAGACGTATTTAAGTGTAAAGATATAATAAAATAAACAACTGCTACTGCTTCATTAAGAATAGTCATTTAAAAAATCAAAAATACAAGTAAAACTGTATGTGTAGTGGGGAGCAACAGGACTATTAGAATAACTAGTACAGTTTGGTGCCACTATCTTAATTAATATTCATGTTAAGACTCCAGCAAGTTTTACTTGCCATTGTTTTTGTACCATCAATACAAATGTCAATTACTAAAAAGGTAAACAATCTCTCAGAATTATTATTAAGAAAGTTTTAACCTCATAGACCCCATGAAAGGGTCTCAGGTACCTAAAACATTCTATAGACCACACTTTGTGAGCCCCTAATGTACTGTAATGCAGCATCAATAAATCATGTATTATATATAAAACATATGTTTCCAGACTTTATGTTTCCAGAAGTGTTATAATCCTAACATTTTTCTCTAGAAAAGATATTAAAGGAAAATAAGCTACTAGAATAACAAAAGAAAGCAGTAAATACAATCCACAGGAATGGAAAACAGAGATGAGTAAAACATTGTAATAGGTAAATCTCTTGTATTTCTGAGACTATTTCCACAACTCCTAAATAAAGGTAAGACTAGAAGAGTTTTTTAAAAGTGTCATGTCCTTAAAATGTGTTAGACTTCCTACTGCCAAGAATTCTAACAGATATATTTGAACAGAATAGCAGATGTGCTTACTTATAAATACGAGGATGACACTGAAGAGATACAGAACTGATTTTGGGCTTTGGTGCAAACACTTCTAAAAATCTGTATTTACTGTAATACAGTACTTTCACTGTTTAATTTTTTTTTTTTTGAGACGGAGTTTCACTCTTGTTACCCAGGCTGGAGTGCAATGGTGCGATCTCGGCTCACCGCAACCTCCGCCTCCTGGGTTCAGGCAATTCTCCTGCCTCAGCCTCCTGAGTAGCTGGGATTACAGGCACACGCCACCATGCCCAGCTAATTTTTTGTCTTTTTAGTAGAGGCGGGGTTTCACCATGTTGACCAGGATGGTCTCGATCTCTTGACCTTGTGATCCACCCGCCTCGGCCTCCCAAAGTGCTGGGATTACAGGCTTGAGCCACCGCGCCCGGCCTAAATTTTTTTAAAGTATTTTTTTGACTACTAAATGGATTCTCTGAGTACAATCTCCAAATAACTGTCCATTTTGAGATGTGTACATGCTGTCAAATATGTTTTAGTGTTCAAGGACGAAACATAACAAAAATGTCTGATTCAATGAAAAGAAAAAAATTATCGCAATTATTCAAGAATTATATTTTAATTGGCTAATTCAATTCAAATTTACAAATATATTCAAGAATTTTTAAATTATACCTTGAAACAGTCATTTTTTAAAATTGATTATTCAAAGCTGGAAAAAAATACACAAAGCAGGAGGGCTAGCTAAGACAAGGTACCTGCTAGCATTACTTGTGGAAGTATACGCATTACTGGAGGTGGCTGCAGAACTGAAAACGCTGTCTAGTTCTGCCAGAGCTGCATACTTGTCTGAAGATGCACTTGACTGACTGGGAACTGAAACCACAGAACCAACAGGAGCTTTACCTGTGGTCCCAAAGCCACTTCCCTGATCACCACCTGGGAATGAACAAAATCAAGTTACACCAAAACTTTAAAGTAATGCTTTCAACTTATCAACCACATTTGCCATGAAACATGTGTAAACTTAAAATGGAATCAGAGCTAAGCAGGACTCCAAAGCCTTAATCTAATAAATAACCTGACCATACTGGACAGGATTAGTTGTTATACATAACACTGTGGTAAAGACAGAATATGTTTCTTAACAAAAATTAAGACTCTGTACCCCAAAAAAAAAAGTCTAGATTATACCTAAGAAAGAACTCAAATGCTACTATGTTAACTTCTCCAAGATGGGTAGATCTTGTTCAAGTGAAGACGCTAGACCTAATGTAAACAACCTATCAATAACATCATTTCCCCAGCATTCTCCATGAAAAAAATTAAGTCAGTAATAATGGGAAACACTTTCTGAGCACTTACTATGTGGGCACTGTTCTAAATGACTTACATGCAGTAATTATAGAACACAACTCCATGAGTTCAATGCTTATAATTATCCTCATTTTGGAGAGGAGACAAACAGGCCCAGATATCAGAATGGAGAATTCCATTTAGCAACACACTGCTGCTATTCACCACTGCCATATGCATTTTTAGAGACTATTAGCCATAAGATAAAACTGGATATAAGAATATACTATAAAATTCATCATTTTTTTTTAAAAAGAAAAAATCCAAGATGTTAACAGTAAATCGTTCAAAGTAAATACATTATAGAAACAACAAAATAACCACCCATTCAGCTCAGCCAATGGAGTTTCTTGGCTCTTTATAGCCAAAGAAAAGTGAAGCATGCCTTCTACGACAAAATAAAATTTTTCTCAACTCTTAAGACTGAAAGTTTCCAAATCAGCTTCTATGTCTTCAGTTTTATGGTTGATCTTTCAGGTCCAAAATGTGTCAAGTGAAGTTTTTTTTTTGAGACGGACTCTCACCTTGTCACCCAGGCTGGAATGCAGTGGTGTGATCTCGGCTCACTGCGACCTCTCTCTCCTGGGTTCAAACGATTCTCCTGCCTCAGCCTCCTGAGTAGTTGGGATTATAGGCGCCTGCCACCATGCCCAGCTAATTTTTTTATTTTTAGTAGAGATGAGGATTTCACCATGTTGGGCAGGTTGGCCAGGTGCAGAGGTTCACACCTCTAATCCCAGCACTTTGGGAGGCTGAAGTGGATGGATCAAGAGGCTAAGCGAACATTTTACTCAAAATGACAGTGTAGCCAAGACTTCTATACAACAATTGAGAAAAGTATAACATGTCCAGATTTTAATAAATACAACCAAATTAAGAGCACTGTTTAACACAAATTTGTATTTGTTTTGTTTAAAGCTCGATACCTTGCCCGGCACTGAAGATATTGTCTAAATTAGCAAGTGCTGCATATTTGTCTGCTGTCTGTAAACCAGCTTTGTTTGTAGAAACTTTACTAACAGCTGATGCTGTTTGATGACTCTGGGAAGTATTGAAGGTTCCAAAATCAGCACTGGAGGATTTGGGGAAGTTATCAAAATGAGCAAAATTAGCATTTACTGATGCAGCACTTCCACCTGTAACAGAATAAACAGAGCACTTGAAATTTCTAAGCTTTTCCTAATACCCTCTCGTAGACTGTATGATCATTTCTTCCTAAATTAAATGTCCTATAAGCAATCCCACAACCTTAAAATCAATGACTGGCAAAGGCTTTTGACTACAAGTGACATTTTATAATTTGTAAAAGTAGATTTCTCAAAGGCCTTGGCAACATGTAAAATAACATGTTTCTGTTTATTACCTACCATGCAATGAAAAATGTAATTCATGGGGAGGTAACTCCATGCTACCTGGTTTGAGATTCAGTTACTTTCTAGTCCAAATATGCTATGTAGCCTTTTACTAGCTCTCCCTAAACAGACTGCAAACAAGATGCAAAGTATCTTACTTGACGAATTTCAAACTTTTGTGACTCCATGGTAACACAATTTAAAAAAATACCAGGGATAGCAATTAACGACATGTAAAATGTGTTACAGTGATCCAGAATTTTTAAAAAGATGGTCATTGACATTTACTCTTTCAAGAGTTACATTTAATTCGACATAATAATTTAATGTGTATACAATATCATGATGTTCATTGTAAAATCATGCCCTACCATATAGGTCAAGGCATTAAAATTATAGTACATAATACATTATAGAAACTTTTGACTTTATAAACCACAGTTCATCTAATGGCCACTATTGTGTATATCCTGTTAAATCTTTAAAGTCTGTTCTCTATTATAGAGACCTCCTTAAAAGACTATCAAAAGACTAAAACCAGTATATTTCATTCTATGCTTTTGATCCTACACCTTTGGGATATTAGTTCTTTATTTCTAAACTTTGGTTTCAGCAATCAAAATAGTACATATGCACGATTATACATTAAAGTAATAGAAAAGACAACTACAGATAATTTTAAAACAGAATGCATGAACCTCTATTAAAAAATATGAACACTTTCTATCAAACAGGTTTTTATACATTCTAAAACAAATACATAATGATAAAATTTCTTTCAGGAGTTAAGTTTCAATTAAAGCTAAGTAATACATGTTGGTATGTAAAAGACTGTGACCTGTTACAAGGATCTGGCACCCAAAGTACATACTAAACTTTCAAAATTCATATAAAGAATATTATTTCAAATTATTAATGATTAAACCAAGCAACTCTGTCTACTACTGTGTTCTCTAACTATGAGTTTAATAAATAAAGTTGGAAGAGATCTTTACGAAGGATTATTACTAAGGATTAACTATCTACAACTGGAAAAACTCTTGTAGTATAGCAAAAATATACAAATTAGTATAAGATGCCTACTTGACAAGAGAACTTACTGTGGGTAGCCTGAAGAGGAAAAGCTGAAGTAAATTCACCAAAACTGCAGCTAGATGAAAGCATTCTAAATGCTGGACAGCCAGAAATTATGTAAATGATGAAAGTTAAAGAAAAAAAAAAGAAAATTGAAAGAAAAGGCTTTAAGACAATACACAGAGTTAAAAGTTGAAAGAAAAGTAATCAGCCAAAGATCTAAATAAGGGTTCAATGAATTTCCAAAAACAGCACAATTTATAGAAAGAGTATTCAATGTTTAAAGACCAATTCCTGCACAGAAAACTACTTCCAAGTTTGACTTAAGTGATCATTAATCTACTCTTGTCGAATAAACATTTAAAAATTTTTCTCAAGCTTGTTGCCCTGAAAATTACTTACATTTTTTACTCTATGGAAGCAATTAGCTTCCTTTATTCAGAGGTATAACGTCAGCCTAAATCAATGGATTCTATGAACTTTAAAAAACTTACAGCATTGGCTGAGCACAGTGGCTCACACCTGTAATCCCAGCATTCTGAGAGGCCAAGGCAGGAGGACAGCTTGATGCCAGAAGTTCAAGACCAGCTTGAGCAACATAGTGAGACCCAGTCACTACCAAAAAAAAAAAAATTATCTGGGAGTGGTGGCATGTGCCTGTATTCCATGCTAAGGCAGGAAGACCACCAAAAAAAAAAAAAAGAAAGACAGAGAAATACTTATAGTAGTGTCATGCCTCTGTCCTCTGTACATGGTAGGTATAAGGAAGATTCATGTGCAGGAAAAGGAGGAGAATGGATGTTGTCAAATAGACAATGATAATACACCAATTAATGCAGAAAAACAAATCAACATAGAAAAAAATAAAGAGTTCAGGTTTCCCCAGAGCTTTTTAAGATAGAACCATTTTAAAGTCATAACTACAGATATTTAAGTTTAGACTAATTTTTCAAAACCACACTTAGAGAGTTTTGTTTTGTATAGCAAACATTTAAGCACAATGCTGGAGAAGCTCTACCTGTAGTTTGGGGCTGAAAAGGAGAGTGACTTGCTGTGGGGAAACCTCCAAAATTACTGGAACCACTAGACTGTCCAAATGCATCAAAGTTTGCAAAATCTGCATTTGCAGAATTCTGAGCTGTAAATGGTAAGGAACAACATATGTTAATGAATATGAAAACTATAAATGAAAATACATGACAAATGAGTTTAAGAATTGTATGATAAGTTCTATGTATCAAAACTCACTTAATAGAGAATTTGCTTAGAAATCGGATTTTAAATCCTACCAGCATTAAACCCAATTACAAGTAATTTACTAAGGAGTAACCGGGAATTTCCAAAAACACTTTGTGCAATGACAAATTTGGAGACAATACTCTGTATATGACAGAAAAGTGACTCTATTAACAAAGAAAACTATTTCAGAGTACTGAGTTACAGCAAAGCAGACAAAGATGTAGAAAATATTCTGGAAAATTCACTGAGTACAAATGGTAATCAACTATGTGAATCTGAATAATAACGGAAATATTAAAAATGATACAAAGATGGTTTAATTAATAAATAAAACTTTTTTAAGTTTACAAATGTGTCACCATGGTCATATATAAAAATTTTAAAAAGGACAAGATCACCAAATAAATTAAAGATATTCACATTCTATTAGAAGCCTGCAATTTTAAACTTATTAAAATTTAAGAAACAATGAATACTAGTATAGAAATTACAGCATATAATTCAGAGCCCCAAAGAGTAACTGAATACCTATTAATTATGGTAATACAGGACTTTGTAGTACCTGTATCGATTTTTACTTCTAGGTACTGATCTATTCACTAGCTTCAACAATCGATTATAAATATTGCAGAATGAAATTTTGAAAAACACAACTTTGGAAATTAAACAGTAATAAATTCAGTATTAGAAAAATTACTATCTGGACACTCAAGCAATCTATGCATAAAGAAATCCAAGCTAAGGAGAATGTAACGCAATGGTAAAACTGACTCTCAATTAATCGTATTTCAAAAAGTACAAAGGAGTCAACTTAGTATGAAACTTAAGATCCCAAGTTAATGAGCCTGAGTCTTGCTAATAGCTGTCATTCCTCCTCAATGAGAAACAGATATTCATGAGACAGGAAGACAAAGAGAGAGATCATAGGATGCAAACTAGCAGTGCTCAGCAAATTTATCTGACAGATATGCTTTGTTGCATCTATGCAGTATTTTACATTGTTTCCCATCAATTCTCAACATTTAAAGAGGGCATTTCACAATAAACAAAAAGACTTCCAGCTTCTCTTATTACAAACAAAAAAAATCAATATAGCTCATAATCCTAAATCTCTATCTCCATGTGATAACAGATTAGAACATCTCCTTTAAAAAGGGCACCACTGTTCCTTAAATAGAGCATTATATTACTCATTTGTGTTACCTGAGTTGCAAGGCAGTTGGGTTTAGATCCTACAGTACAGAGTGTGACAAAGATCAATTACAGTTTTAGTGCACAGGTTTTGTGATGATTGATGTTTATCATCAGGCAAAATGACTACTAAATTCAGCAGGTGAATTTTATTTCTAGTTTCATGCATATTTCTGTAAAAGATGACTTTTCTGAACCCCACACAGCAACATACATCCAGAATTACTATACCTCAGCCTGAATGCTCACATAAAGAGTAAAGACTTCTGGCTTTTAAGTCACTAAACTTTCTACAAAAGAACAAGTTTTCCTACAAGATAGTGCTAACCAACCAGACTGGCATATTTGAATAACTTACTTGCCATTAAAGGTTCTGTCATTCATAGCAAACTGTTCAGAATAACATTCTCAACTAATATTTTTGAAAAATTAACAAGAATATCAGGATGAGAACTTGGCAATCAATAACTTTATTTGTGAATCTTATATGGAAAAATAAAGATTCTGAATGCTTGGAAAGGCTCTGGAAAAAATCATTTCAGTTAAATCATGACCTAGTTTTAATACCTAGAGACTACTCCAAGGCAAAATGTCAACAGATATCAACCGTATAGAAGGAAAAATAAATGAGTAATTCAGTAGTTTCTTCTTCTTCTTTTTTTTTTTTTGAGATGGAGTTTCGCTCTTGTTGCCCAGGCTGGAGTGCAATGGCGCGATCTCGGCTCACCACAACCTCCGCCTCCTGGGTTCAGGCAATTCTCCTGCCTCAGCCTCCTGAGTAGCTGGGATTACAGGCATGCGCCACCATGCCCAGCTAGTTTTTAGTATTTTTAGTAGAGACGGGGTTTCACCATGTTGACCAGGATGGTCTCGATCTCTTGACCTCGTGATCCACCCGCCTCGGCCTCCCAAAGTGCTGGGATTACAGGCTTGAGCCACCGTGCCCGGCCCTCAGTAGTTTCTTCTTGTAATAGGCATACACATTTTATTCACCTGTAATCAAACCAAAACTCAAATAAAGAATAAAAAAAGTAATCTGAGCAGTCATTTTTAAGTAAGAACTTTAGACTAAAAAAACAACCCCTCTTATGCAACCTGACTTACAGTTAGCCTACATAGCTATTACCTTCTTTCTTCACAAAACAGTTAAGATCAACCACTTTCTATCAATCTGATCAAAATAGAAATTTCTTTTCCTTTACTGCATATTCTACAATTAAATGATGGTGATTGTTTTCAAAGAGCATTTTAAGGGAGTTGTTGAAAGTAATAGTGCAACCATGCTACAAGTTAGTCTGTAGAGTTGCAGTGATTTATCTAACCATTTTTGGCTAACAGAGCTACAAAGAAAAGTTCAACATTACCTGTGAAACTCACAAATTGCATTTAAAGAGAGAGAAACAATGGGAACAAGAAATAAGTTGCAAATTTACAAAAGAAGTTGGTACTTATCAGTAATTTCACATTGTATTTCGATAATCCTAAAATGAAGATTAAACCAGAAGATATTAATAAATTGTACAGGTTTTACTATTTATTGGTTTATGCACCAACTCTTTTTACCAGCATTCAAAAGCAAGAAGTGGGAAAAGAGAGTTGGGGTTCTTGTCTAGTCAGAGGGGAAATGGATTTCTATCTGGACGGTTAAGGGGAAAGAGGCTCTCCAGGTTTTCTGGGATTTTGCAGCTCAGTTAATACAGAAGAAAAATCTACCACAACCTCAACAACTTAAGCAAAAAGAAAATCACAATTTCTTATCCTCCTCAGTATAACTTTTCCTGAAAAAAGAAATCCATGTCATCCTAAGACTCCTTTTTAAAGCAAATACACACAGGAGACATATAAAAATTATACCACAATTTCCTTCTAAAGCATGTCCTTAGAAAATGTTTTTAGTAATATTTGAAACAAAAGATTCCCTTATTGCTTGCTAGAAAGAAATGTGGCTGGAGAGAAGTTTTTCTACCATTTTTCAAACTATACCAAACAGAACACTTTGGAGTGTGATTACATATAATATACTTTATGTCATCATTATCCAAAAAGTCGGGTCATCAAATTGAAAGAAAAAGAAAAACCATCACAATCTCACAGGTAAGTAAAATAAGGCAAAATAAGTTCTAAAATACAAATAGAAAATCAGTTCTATCAGCAATGGTTTCTGCTATGCTCATAAAATTGTGAAATACATCTTCTAGAAAAATGATCTTGAATTTTTCTTGTTCATAATTGACCTTATAGAAAATAATATAAAGCAAAGTTTCAAATTATCAAAATAAAACTACAAAATGACTAAATTCCTAAATTAATGTTCTACATTTGGTTTGATACTTATGTTATCACTCAAAATGCAAACGGGTAAACTTTCCATGATATCAACATCACAGCTTTCTGGCACCCCAAATAGATTCCATACACATTTCCAACACAAATACTATGTATGCTTTTACACTGTTAAAGCATAAAGCAGCAACTGTAAAGATTCAAGAAATTACCAAGTTGTTGGGAAATGAATCTGAACCATTTGAGGAATCTTAACTAAGATCAAAAGATTAAAACAGCATAAAAACTTGCTATAGACTATGATCGTTTTTCTTAAATGCATGATAGGCAAACATACATAAGTGTATATGTGTATACATATGTACATATATATGTAAAAGGTGTGTAAAGAGAGAATATTTATTGTAAGTTTTAGATGCTAACTAGTTAAATGCATCATCTCATTTGAACTTTGCCACTTAACAAAGACAATTTATAGAAAACAAAATTTAGAAATGTTAGGTGATTTGCCCAAAGTTACATAGATAATAAGCAAGAAAGCCAGCATTTGAACCCAGGTTGTACCAACTCCAAAGCCTAGGTTCTTTTTAATACGTTATGCCACTTCCCTATCAGACTATTGCTATCACAATTAAAGGAGACACACAAGTGACCAAATCTACACTTCAATAATCAATTTTTAAATATTACCTAGGTACCTCTGAGAGGTTTGCATATTTGTTAACAAAATAAAACTCCATAAATCCCAATTTCTGGTGATGTGCATTAAACTGTAACAAATAGGTTAAATCTCAGAATAAGGAGGGAAGAAAAGGCCATTCAAAGACCACAAGCGTTCTATCAAAAAAAGTATCTTTAGGGCTGGGCACAGTGGCTCACGTCTGTAATCCCAGCACTTTAGGAGGCCGAGGCAGGCGGATCACCTGAGGTCAGGAGTTCAAGACCAGCCTGGTCAACATGGTGAAACCCTGTCTCTCTACTAAAAACACAAAAATCATCCAGGCGTGGTGGCAGGCACCTGCTGTCCCACTTACTCAGGAGGCTGAGGCAGGAGAATTGTCTGAACCCAGAAGGCAGAGGTTGCAGTGAGCCAAGATCATGCCAGTGCACTCCAGTGTGGGCAAGAGTATGAAACTCCATCTTAAAAAAAAAAGCACTTTGGGAGGCTGAGGTGGGAGGATCACTTAAGGTCAGGAATTCCAGAACAACCTGGCCAACATGGTAAAACCCCATCTCTACTAAAAGTACAAAACTGGCGGGTGCTGTGGTGCATGCTTGTAATCCCAGCTACTTGGGAGGCTGAGGTGGGAGAATCCTTTGAACCCAGGAGACAAAAGTTGCAGTGAGATCTCACCACTGCACTCCGGCCTGGGCGAGAGAGCGAAATTATAGACATTATATACTTTCCCCATTTTTCCACAAAAATAAGTCATGCCAGCAAGCGACAGAACCATTCTCAACAAAAAATGTTTACTGATATTCAAAGTGTGATAAAGAAGTAATGTTTCTTGGTGCTTTATATACATTCCCCAGCAAAAGTTGAGAAAAAACACTTACCTGTATGACTGTTGAAATGTGCAAAGTTAGCAAAATTGGCTGTAGCTGTTGACTGAGGAGCTGGAGCAGCAAAGATGTCTGAGCCAAGATCACTTAACAGGTCAAATTGCTTCTTCTCCTGCTGCTGCCCTTGAGAACGACCTACAACTGGGGACTATAAACCACATATTAACTATAAAGATATTCCAGTCAGATCTGCAAGATCTTTATACAAAACTATCTCTAAACTTAAAACACACTTATACATAGGAAGTTACAGTATACTGAGTTAACCTTTCTCATTTTTCACTCAAACCTTTTGTGAAAACAAGAGAAATTTATCCAAATGTTCTAGTATGTTATCAAAAAGGATTCAATGCGTATTACTATGTTTCTGAACCATTCTCGTATAGGATAGAGGCTGCAATACTATACAGTAACAAATGTGTCACAGCTCCACACAACTATAATAAAGTACAAACTTTAGGTAGCAACTTATGAAAATATTCCATTTTGTTCATTTCTAAGAATAAGGTATAATGCAAAGCCCCCTGTGTTTTAATGATCGAAATACTTCACAATCACACATGTGGAAAAAATTGCACTACTAAAGAAATCCCTTCCTAGAAAAGTGTATCACAGAGACTTTATGTTTTAACTTTGGTAGTCACCACAGATTCATGTTTTACTAACTGCATAATAAATGATATATACATACATACATACACACACACACACACACATATAGCTATAGCAACATTCCTGTAGAATTCACCTTTACAAAGCTGCAGAGAAGTCAAAGAAACTCATATTAGCAACAGCAAGAAAAACAAACATAAATACATTCAACCACTTAACCTACAATTTCTTAATGTGTAATAAACCACTGGAACATAATGCTACTGGCATACAAGGTTATGCTGCTGTCTTAAAGTATTCTCAAATTCTTGATACTCAAGCCCCCTTAAGTTGAACTCCCTACAAAGATTCAAAGACTACTCACCTGACTAGGGGTACCCTTATTTAAGTGCAGTGTTGGGGCAGAATCCCCTAAAAGAGATTTCAGTGGTTTGACCTCAGGTGTGCTGCTTGTGCTGCTGGCAGAGGACCCTGAAATAGATGCATGAACTGATGCCACGACTTTGGCCTGTTCTGGTGGGACATACCTAAAATACGTAAAAATCAGTTAACTAAGAAAAATGTAGGTAATTCTATAACAAAAAAACGATAAGCTTAATTCTAACTTTGTACGAGACTGTTTTACCATTACTCTTACCTGAAAACCCTCTTACACAGAACTGATAACTATTTTTTTAAAAAGAAACAATAGCTTAAGACAACATCCATTAAATAACTGAAATACTCAGAGAAAAAGAAGACCAACCACAAAACTCGTTTCAATTACCTATTTGTAGCTTTTCTAAGATATTAAGTACAATATAAGAAATAACTGTTTTTAACAGAAGACAATCATCACAATGAATAGTTAATAGTATAATTTTTAAAATTATCTTAGATCATAAATAACTTTAAGACAGATGAGGTAGGAAAACACTGGTAATATTACAGTTAGGGAAACACTGGTAATATTACAGTTAACAGCCTAAAATATAAAGGCTTAGGATAAGATCATCCCATTTTAAATGAACAAAAGAAGCAATTCACAGAAAGAGACACAAATAAAAACACTTTTAACTTAACAAAAATGTAAATTAAGGTTTTATTCACCTATGAGCTAAGTGTGAACTTCACAAATGTTGTATTGCTACCTACTAAAATAAATAAATAAGTGTGCTTTGTGCACCAGAAGTATCACTTCCAGAAACTTATCCTTAAGAATTGGTAAGTCTATAGATACATGTACACATGGATGTTAACCACAGTCCTCTCTTTATCATTTCAAAAAAACTGGGAAACCAAACGTCTATCAAGAGAAAAATATTTAAAGGGATTATGCTAAAAATCACTGTAATACAATACTCAAAGCTACTCTGCTTTGACGTGGAAAGCTAAAACTTCACAGTTCTTGCAGATTTAATTCCAGTAATGTAAATACATGATTTATGTGAGGAGGCAAGTCAAGAAAGAGGCAGCAAGGATAATAATGTCCAAACATCGGCAATGCTGACCTCTAGGTGTGGGATTATGTGAGAGCTTTTGCTCTTTGTAATTCCGTGTTTTGTCCTACCCTCCTTTTTATTCCCCTTATGAAGTAGGTGAGGAAAGAAGGAAAACCATGTTTAAGAGCACCTGTTCCAGAAATAGAGTTCAAATCCCAGCTCCACCACTAAATGGCTGTGAAACCTTGGGTAAACTATTAATACTTCAACTCTTTGTGCTTCCATTTTCTCACTGATAAAATGGAGAGACAAGAGTTGCTGTGAGGTTTAAATAAGTTAACATTTGTAAAGCACTGAGAACACATTCCTAGTATAGGTATATGTTTAACTACATAAAGTGTTGTCACCAAACTACGTAATAGTCACAAACAATGCAACTGCTTTGTTGTGGGAGAAACAAGAGATATGAGAATGAATACAAGAACTTATACTTTCCCATAATTTAGCACACTACTGATATAGCCAAGTCTTATCAAAGGATAAAATCAGATGATAGTTATTGGTTCAAGACTGACCTGACACAGGTCAGTCTTGAAGAAACTAATCTTGTTTAACACAGAAAGTGCTTTTGAGAACTGGTCAAAAGAACAATTTCAAAATCCCTTTGGATAACAACAGCATCACTGTTTTAAGTACAGTTACAGTGAGTATTTTTAGGGAGACAGCATCTGGATAGTGCTTATTCCATATTAGAAACCAATTTCACTGTTCTCTAGCTATATGTTACAGGTGTGCAGGAGTCTGCATTAAAAACATACAGGTTCTGGACCTCTTAATGATTGTTACCTGTCCCACCACGTAAAGTCTGTATTTGTATTACTCTTACTATCCTGTTTCTCAGGGAAAGAAAAAAAAAAACCACACACACACATAAATTATAATTATTTGAGGTTTCCAGGTACTTGGGTTATAGTTTAAATGAGTAATACATCACTGTTATAAATGTGGGGGTAAGGATCTATGATTTTAATTCGACCAACTGTTACTGACACTCATTTTTCTCCTGATAGCTACAGCTGACCATTAGCTAATCCCTAACCAAACTCACTTTCTGAATTGGTAAAAGTAACACAGCTGAAAAAACAAAACTAGGTTAGGGCTATGCAAGGAGAACAGTCTTTCCTACAGGATGGAATGTCTAGAAAATTCAGAACCAAAACTATAAAAGGGTAATTATACCTTTCATTTTAAAAGAATCATTTATGCTACCACATTTTTACTATCAACCCATCTTCTAATATTTTCTTCTTTCCTAAACTTATATTTTACTGATATATTTTAATCTATTTTCATACCTGATGTCTTCTGGTGTAGCTGAATATAGCCCTGACTAACCTTGCCTTGCAAAAAGTAGTCTATTTTAGGCAGGGCACAGTGGATCACACCTGTAATCCTAGCACTTTGGGAGGCTGAGGTGGGCGGATCACCTGAGGTCAGGAGTTTAAGACCAGCCTGGCCAACATGGCAAAATCCCACCTCCTATATCTACTAGAAATATAAAAAATTAGCCAGGTGTGGTGGTGGGTGCCTATAATCTTGGATACTTGGGAAGCTGAGGCATGAGAATCACTTGAACCTGGGAGGTGGAGGTTGTAGTGAGCAGAGATCGTGCCACTACACTCCAGTCTGGGCAACAAGAGCAAAACTCAGTCTCCAAAAAAAAAAAAAAAAAAAAAAAAAGAAAAGAAAAAAAGTAATCTATTTTGGAAAGCAGTAAGAATACAAATTTTGATAGGGCATGCAAGTCAGAGTTAATGTGCTCCTGAATGAAGGTAAAGACCTCTGCTGTAAACCATGTCAAATGTTCTCTCAGGACCAAAACAGGCTCTGAACATATTCTCTGGGTTGAAACACAGTTTCTCAGGCAAACAAGAGGCCCGTTACTTCCCCATTATCTACACCCTATTTTGACTCTCTGCCCCATCTTCTTCACCTCCCAAGATGAAATATCCATTATTCAGTATTATTAAAGAAACAATCAAAAGAGTTCATAGTAAAGAGTCTTAGTAACTATACTTAAATTGTGCTCATATAGCTGAAAATGAAGAGCCTTGAGTAGATGAACACTAGCTCTATGTATATAGTCCCTATTCCACTGTAAGGGGCTTACTAGCTATATGAACAACCTGTTCATTAATTAATGAATTAACTTTTAAAATTAATGAATTAATTTTTAAAAATTAACATCCAATAGATTTAGTTAGGGAAATATAAATACTCCCTTCTTAACCAGGAAGTAAACTGATTTCTTAGGTAGAAAGAAAAAAAATATTTTGAGTGAAGACTACAACAGACAATTAGGTAGACGGATTACTACACCAGAGCTTTAGCACAGTGCCTAGTACATAGAAGATGCTACTCAATAAATTTTTAAAAAGATATGATTCAATAAATACTTGCTAAATTAATGATTTTTAAGAATGGAGACTTTGTAGGAAAAAAATACTTTTAAAGAAGCTAACTGAGATAGGAAATGAGTAGAGGGGAAGAATCCCTAACTTTCCTGGTAATTATTATTTTAAAAAAAAGGCTGCTGCCACGCACAGATGAGTTAAGATAAAGTAGAAGTAAAGGTTTTTGGAAACCAAACCAACAAAAAGCCAAGAGATAATGAACTATATATACTTATCTAGTTCTCACTGTCTGTCTTTTATCCTTCATTGTGTCAGACTAACCTTATCCATAGTTAATGTGATTTGGGGAGGCTTTATTCTACATATAAACTATTCACTCACCATCTTTTCTTTTCATATTTTTCTTGTAGAAACTCTTTCACTTTTTGTGGATCCCTGAAGTCTGGAATTGCTGAAGATCTATCATCAAACAATCCTAGCCAAATCTGTTTACAGACCTTTGGAAAGAATTAAAAAATATATAAATTAAATTCGACATCTTCACTTAAAAAAATTTTAAGGGGAAATAATGATTCTTTCAGGAAGCTCATCTACATAATAATTTTAATAATATGTATTCAATGAGGATACTAATAATCAGAAATAAAGAAACTAAATTTATTTTTAATATGTTACAGTATGTAGTAAATTTTTAGCAACAGAATCATTTAAAAAGGGAAATGAACAGTGAAATGGGATTTGAGAAGACCTGGGGCCTTTTTGGTCTTGGTGAAAACATAAACCTTACCATTAGCAAAGTCTTGTAACCTGTATAAACCTCAGTTCTCTTACAAAACAAAGGAACTGAACCAGTAACAATTTTACAGGACTTTTAACAAGTCTAAAAAAAACCAAAAGGAACACACAAAAATACTAGAATCATAAACAATTTACTGTAAAACTGTAACAATAAACACAAATATAAGGCAGATACACTATTAGCTTTACAGTTGTCTCCTATGACTTTTTGTCCAATAGCTTAAAAATGAGAATCTAAGATATTTAACTTTCAGAAAAACCAAAAGAGAAATGCAATAAAAAAGCACAAAAAGAACTATAAAGAGAAAAACTTATAGATTTCATCAAAAAGTTATTCTTCAAAAAAACTTAAAAAATAAAAAAACAAGACTCCATGGATAAAAATCTTTGCAAAATGTTTAAGAAATTGAAACTGGAATATATAAAGAACTCCTACAACCCAATTACAAAAGACAGATAACCCAACACTTTTTTGGGGTTTTTTCTGATTTCTTTTTGAGAAAAGATCTGGCCCAGTTTGGAGTGCAGTGGTGTAATCTCAGCTTATTTGTAACCTCCACCTCCTATGCTCAAGCCATCCTCTCATCTCAGCCTCCTGAGTAAGCTGGGCAGCACCACATGTGACTAACTGTATTTTTTGTAGAGACAGGGTTTCATTCATGTTGCCCAGGCTGGTCTCAAACTCAGAGCTCAAGTGATCCGCCCACCTCAGCCTCCCAAAGTGCTAGGATTACAGGTGTGAGCCACCACGCCCAGCCAACACTTGTTTAAAGAGGGGGCAAAAGATCTGAACAGACACTTCACCAAAGATATAAGCAGCCCACTGTCATCAGTCATGTATAAAATGCAAATTAAAACACTGTTGAGGCCAGGTGCAGTGCCTCATGCCTGTAATCCCATAACCCTGGAAAGACGAAGAGGGGGGATCACCTGAGGTCAGGAGTTCAAGACTAGCCTGACCAAAATGATGAAATCCCGTCTCCACTAAAAATACACAAAAATTACCTAGGCATAGTGGCGCACACCTGTAATCCCAGCTACTCGGGAGGCTGAGTATGGAGAATCATTTGAACCCAGGAGGCAGAGGTTGCAGTGAGCCAAGATCACGTCATTGCACTCCAGCTTGGGCAACAAAAGTAAAACTCCATCTCAAAAAAAAAAAAAAAAAAAAAAAAGACACTGAGACTCCCAAGGATAGACATGCATAGATATCACCAGAAAAGCTAAAAACAAAGTTGTGACCACACAATGTACTGGTAACAATGCAGAACAGCCGGAATTCTTTCTAATATAAAATGGTATAAGCACTGTGGAAAACATTTGGCAGTTTCTTAAGAGTTAAACGTAGACCTGACATATGACTTAGCCATTCTACTTCTAGGTATTTATCCAAGAAAAAGAAAAGCACTTGTCCACACTCAGACTGTACATATTTACAGCAGCTTTGATAATAACCCCAAACTGGAAATAATCCAATTGTCCATAAATAATTGAACAAAAAAATGGCAGAAAATCCACAGAAGCATATTATTCAGTAATTAAAAGGAGTAAACCATTAATACAAGAAACATGAATAAACCTCAAGATTATGTGCACACCCCTCCCCACCAAAACGTATATACAACATATTTCCATTCATTTAAATCTTTAATATAAACCTGCCTACAGCGAGGAAAAGCAGACCAGTGGATTCATTACAAAGGGTTGCACAATGAAAATGGATGCTCTCTTGTTATTATGGTAGTGGTTTCATGGTATACAGATATGTCAAAACTCATCGAACTGTAAACTTTATAGACACGTTATCAATTTAAATATGTACAAATTATCAGTTATTCCTCAGCAAAGTTATCAAAAACAAATCCACAAGTTTCCAAAATTGTATTATTTTAAAGAATAAGCAATTATGACACTATGAAAAGAACAAAGTATCTGGTTTCAAAAACCCTGACAAATATTTAAGACATGAGCGAAGGAAAAGCATACTTCTCAATCTTACTTGCTCACTGAACTGGCTATGGGAGACATAAGAGAAAGGATAGGAAAAAGGGCTTGCCCTTCTCCTCTCCTACCATGTCCCCAAACACGTTTCAAAATATTTCTTGTGGTCCCTTCCTATTTCAGGCTCAGTACAGATACTATAAAGTCATTTTGGAAGTGACAGTTGACACAAGTGAGGACTAGAGTAAGGCATAATCCATTATGAAGAAATTTCAGTGTCAAAGCCTGAGAAGTACAGACACCCAGGAACAGTAGTGCAACTTACTGCCAGAAATGGCACAAACCTTAAAGAGACCCAGCTTGTCCAATTAGTTTTTAGCCACTTAAAAAGAACTACATGGGACTCTCCTCAGGCAGAAACCTAACTAATGATTCTCACAAACTGTAATTCTTTAAGATTTTTAAAGATGTGTCAATTACATTTAGAAACGGAGGACTGCAAGTTTTTAATTCTTCTATTTTAAAACTTCCCAAATGAGAAAACAAGAGACATGATAGTTATTTGCCCAAAGCCATGGAACTATTGACTGTACTTGACAGAATTACTTCAAGACACTTTAGTCTCTACTTTCTAAAACTTCTGCCATATACAACTTTTAAAACTAAAATCAATAAATGAATAATAACAAGCATACAAATAAATAAAATGAAGCCGACAGGCTAAGGGCAGACAGATCATAGAACTGCCACCTTGGCACTCAATGGTAACGCAAAGCAAAGATGGAGTGCTTTATGGTAAACTATTTGACGTAAGCAGATTGTAGGATTTCCTCTAAACTGCATACTAACTGCTGTGGTTCTGCATCTGCTCTCTGAAAGGTCACACTGCTAGAGAAAGTCATTAAAAATAGCTGCTTGGGTCCTCTACAAATTCAAAATATCTCACTGTCAAAGTTCCTCAAAGTTATTAATCAGCTTTAATTTCCTATTATATTGCCCGACAGCAGCTATTTCCTATATTTATATCTCAAAATCCTAACCATTCTCAACACTCTTAGCAGTTGAATTCTTACTCAAGTGAAATGACCCTCAACATGTGATTCTCAATTCCTTAAATCAGCAAGCAACATCAGTGTCACCTAAGAACTTGTTGGAAATGCAAATTTTCAGGAGCCACCCAAGACGTGTGAAATCAGTCCCTCTAGGTGGAACCAAACAATCTGTTTCAACTCTTCCAGGTTATACTGAAGAAGGCTAAAGTTTGAACCAATGCTTCAGTAACATCTAGGCCAGCAGATGGAAACTTACTTCCTACCTGTAACTTTTCATCTTTCCTTGCCTCTATCAGAACATCAGAGACAGAGGGAAAGAGAGATTCAAACTATATACAGCTTTCAGCATTTCTCAAATTTAGCCAGTAAACCTATTATGGGGCAAGATTCATTTAACAAAGCCAGTGTTTCGGTGACACACCTGGGAAAATAATCAGTCTCTAGCTCCTTATGACCTACTCACATTTTAGTCCCTGAAAGGTCACCTTCTGCTCCCAACACTCTACTAACATTACTATTTCAGGCATCTAGATTTGCTGATAAAGTCTCTTTTCCGCTTGTTTTGTTTTTTTAGTAAAACCAATATCATCAACTGAAAAAAGGGGTTTCAAGGTTAGAAAAAAAGGGTGAGAATGAATTGACTAAGAAGCACTGAAGACTTGAGGCCATGAATATTTGAAGTGAAACTAGCTTTATCTGGCTATTCAGGTAAAAGTAGGTAGAATACTGGTTTAATTGGGCAGAACATGACAGAGGTTGGAAAAAGGTGATTATATTAACAGACCATGGAACCTAAGCTAAGAAAAATAAAGACATCATGAGGAAGACAGATAACAACATTTAGTGAAATAAAGGAATGGAAGTCCTGATGATTGTCCCAAAATTGTTGGCTCCAGTATTGGAGTAAGCTGGAAAGAGAATCAGTGGTGGTCAGAGAACTGAATGCTTGAAACTGAAATCTGGGGGTTGATACAGTTATCAATAAATAAAAGGTTTAAAGTAGTATGAAGGATCACTGGAGGTCATGGAATTCTGGAGGCCATGGAGCTATCTGTGTGGATATTGGCCAGGCCAAAATGATTAACACTAGTGGAAATAAAAACAGTATTTAAAATGAATGAGGGGGCTAAGCACGATGGCTCATGTCTATAATCCCAGCACTGTGGGAGGTCAAATCGGAGGGACTGCTTGAGCCCAGGAGTTCAAGACCAGTCTGGGCAACATGGCAAAATTCAGTCTCTACAAAAAAATACAAAAATTCACCGAGCGTGGTGGTGAATGTGTAGTCCCAGCTACTCGGGAGGGTGAGGTGAGAGAATCACCTGAGCCCGGAAAATAGAGGTTGCAGTCAGCCTTGATCATACCACTCTACTCCATCCCGGGTGTCAGAATGAGACCTTGTCTCTAAATACATACGTACATACATACTGAATGAGGGAATCTGACTGGTACAATTGTAACAAGAAGATGCAGCCACTCATAAAATCTATTGACATGAAAAGTGGGGGCAAGGAACTAAAAACAGCACCGAGGAGCAAGAGTGACACTTAAAAACTAGGAATTATACAGAACAATGGAATTAGTTTTGATGGTCTCTTTTGGGGGAGGTAAATAATCAGCTCTAATTATAGAATAATGTGCTGGTGATGGTAGTTAATGAGCTTGGACTAGGGAATCGGACTGCATGAGTCTGAATTCCAACTCTA